AGCTCACTGTAACCTCCAACTCCTGGACTCAGAGGATCCCCCCACCTTATCCTCCTAAGTGGCTAGGACTATAGGCATATGCCACCATGCCCAGCTAACTTTTTAAAAATTTTTTGTAGTGATGAGGTCTCACTATGTTGCCTATGCTGGTCTCAAACTCCTGGCCTCAAACAATCCTCCTGCCTCGGCCTCCCAAAGTGCTATGATTACAGGCATGAGCTATAAGGCCCAGCCAAAAATCCCTTTTAAAAGCCAAAACACAAATAAATATGAGGAAAATATTTGCAAGATCTATGGTAGACAAAGGGCTACCTTCCTTCATAGGAAAAGACTCTTACAAACTAATAAACATTACCTATAACCCAAGAGAAAAATGACAAAGAATTATGTATAGGCAGGTCACAGAAAAAACACAGATAGCTTATAAACATAGTTTAAAATGATGTTCAACCTCACCCGTAAAGAAAGAAATCTAAGTCAAAGTAGTAAAAATTTATGTTTCATCTAACAGATTGGCAAAGATCCAAAAGTGTGCTACACACGGTGTTGTCAAAGTCACAGGGAACTACCCACTCTTAAACTTGGTCGATGGAAATGTAAATTGGTACAACTGCAACTGAGGACCACTTGCCAAGATCAGTCAAAATGTTGTGGTGCACACCTGTAATCCTAGCACTCTGGGAGGCTGAGGCAGGAGGATCGTTTAAGCTCGAGAGTTTGAGGTTGCAATGAGCTATGATGAAGCCACGGCACTCTACCCGGGCAACACAGTGAGACTCTGTCTCGAAAAAAAAAACCTGAGATGCACATGTACTTTAACTTAGCACATCTTCTAGGAATTTATCCTACACATCGACATGCAAAATCCTGTTAAAAAAAAAAAAAAGGAATTTCTCCTACGTATATCATACATACACTAATACTGGGTACAAAGATCTGTATGTGTAAAGATTTATGCAGCTTCGTTTTTAATGGTGAAAGGTTGAAAACAACAGGAACGCCCTCCTCTAAAAGACTAAGACAAAAAGTTGTGTCACATAGAATGGAAAATTTGCAGCCATTAAAATAAGGGGCATGTGCAGCTATGCAGCGATCTCTGAGATGTGATTATCAAGTGAGCAAAATGAAGTGTATATAGTATGTTCCCCACTTGTTAAGCGATAGTCAATTGTAAGTGTACATAGAAAATTTCCAGAAAGCCAAAGAAGAAATTGCAAACATTGGTTGCCTCAGAGTATGACCAGCTACGTAATTTGCCAAGCCCAATGCAAAATGAAAACACAGGCCCTTTGTCCAAAAATTGTTCAGAATTGCAAGACAGCACCGGAAGAGTATTAAGCCAGGGACAGGCCCCCTTGCACACGGAGCCCTGTGTGACGTCCCAGGTCCCAGCCTGTGGAGCCAGCCCAGCTGCAGGGAAGGCAGCTGGAGTGACAGGGGTTAGAAATGGCAGGGGAATAATTTTCACTGGAGACCATTTCGAGTCACTGTAATTTTCCAGTGGGTGCATGTATTAATCTTCCAATTACTAAAAGAATACCATTCAACCCAGCAATAGCATTGTGAGGCATCTACCCAAAAGAGCATAAGACATTCTATTATAAAGACATCTGCACCCAAATGTTTATGGCAGCACAATTCACTATTGCAAGGACATGGAAACAACCCATGTGCCTGTCGATCCATGAGTGGATAATCAAAATCTGGCATATGTTCACAATGAAATATTACTCAATTCTAAGAAACGACCACGAGCTAGCACCGCTTGTACTATCCTGGATTAACCTTAAGCCCATTATCCAAAGTGAGAAGACACAAGATCAGGAAAATGGGCTCCACATGTACTCGCCATCAAATTGGTACTGACTGATGATTAAAACTGGTGCTCAAATGGTGGTAGTGTTCACCAGGGATGGGGGGGTGGGTAGACCCACGTCTTAGGGATGTAGTGAGCATTGTGGAGGGGAAGGGCATACCTCTAACCCTTGCTAGGGAGAGGCAAAGATATAAAATGTAACCAAAATGTCAAAAAAAAAAATTTCTTGGGTGTCAGGCAGGTGGGAGGGGGAGGAGGGGATGGATGTATACTTACATAATGAGTGCAATGCGCACCACCTGGAGGATGGACATGCTCGAAGCTCTGACTGGGGGGGAGGGGTGGCAAGGGCAATATATGTAACCTTAACAATATTTGTACTCCTATAATATGATGAAATAGAGAAAAAAAAACATTAAAATAATTTTAAAATAAAATAAAAATTCCTTACCACCACCATCATCACCCCCCAAAATTCCTATTATCGTTTTCTTTACCCAAGAAGAGCTACAATTCTTAGAAATACGGTCAGATGGAGGTGAGATAGGAAAACAGCAGGCCCTGCTCATAAAGAGTCATAAGACCCAAGCCAGGGTCTCTGATAAAACAGGAGAAGGTGGAGAAACCAGCCAGAAGCCAGATGACCACGAAAACCACAGTTACCATCATTGCTCATTATATGGTAGTTACAAAGCATCAGCATGCTCAAAGAAATGCCCACCAGCACCACGACAGTTTACAGATACCATGGTAACTCCCAGAAGTTTCCCTGCATGGTTCAAAAAGAGGAGGAACCCTCAGTTCCAGGATCTCCCCACTCCTTTCCCAGAAATCCTATGAATATTCCTCCCACCACTCGACATAAAATGAAATAGAAGATACAAAATAAGACCCCAGAAACTCACCAAGTGCTATTCTCTGTTGCCCTGTCTATGGGGCAGCCTCCCTTTTTTTCTTTTGTTATTTCAATAATCTTGCTTTTGCTTTACCCTGTCAGCTCACTCTTGAATTCCTTCCTGCGAGAAGCCAAGAACCCACCTGGCCTTCAAATGGACCCTAGTTCTGGGGTCCACTTTCCTGTATTGGAGGGAGGTGGGGAGGGTGTGGGGAGGGTGTGGGGAGGGAAGGAGTGTAGGGTGGAGAGCAAGGGCTCTTCCTCACAGAGGAAATCCTGTCTACACTCTGGGAAGCCCCAGGTTAAATTTACCTGAGAGTTGGATTGAACCATACGTTCCCCTAAGTGTGTGCTTACCACAGCAAGACTGTTTGAAAACACTCCCGCAGCCACAGGACTTTTAGCTAAGCCTCTGAAGAATGTCAGCGCATCCATGTGAATTCCTACAGCCTTCTACTGGATTGAACAGGGTCCCCCACAAATCCATATCCACCTGGAACCTCAGAAAGTGACTCTATTTGGAAGTAGGATATGTGCAGATGTTATTAGTTAAACGAAGGCCATACTGGTTTAGGGTTGGCCCTATCCCAGTGACTGCTGTCCTTACATGTGAAGGCACAGAGGGACACACAGGGAGAGCACCGTGTGAGGATGGAGGCAGAGATTGGAGAGATACTCCCACAAGCCAAGGAGTGCCAAGGACTGCTGGGACATTTTAGAAGCTGGGAAAGAAGCATGGAACCAATTTTCCCTCAGAGCCTCCAGAAGAAATTAATCCTGTGTCAACAACTTGATTTCAAACTTCTAACTTCCAGAACCGTGGGAGAATACATTTCTGGTGTTTCAAGCCACCAAGTTCACTTTGTTACAGGAGCCCTAGGGAAACTAACACAAGCCTCCAACAACTATTCATGCTTCAAATCCGAAGTCTGCAAACTTCTCTGTAAAAGAGCAAATAGTAAAGATCTTTGGCTTTGTGGGTCTTATGGTCTCTGCTACAGCTACTCAAATCTGCCAGGATGCGAAATCGGCCACAGGCAATAGGTGAATGAATTGATTTGGATGTGTTCCAATAAAACTTTATTGGAACAGTGGCAGGATTTGCCCCTCAGGCTATAGTTTGAAGACAGGTGCTTTATTTTTTATTTTTGTATTTTTTTGAGACAGAGTCTCACTCTGTTGCCCGGGCTTGAGTACCATGGCGTCAGCCTAGCTCACAGCAACCTCAAACTCCTGGACTCAACCGATCCTCCTGCCTCAGCCTCCTGAGTAGCTGGGACTACAGGCATGCGCCACCATGCCCGGCTAATTTTTTTCTATATATTTTTAATTGTCCAGATAATTTCTTTCTGTTTTTAGTAGAGGCGGGTGTCTCATTCCACTCTTGCTCAGGCTGGTTTCAAACTCCTGACCTTGAGCAATCCTCCTGCCTCGGCCTCCCAGAGTGCTAGGATTACAGGTGTGAGCCACCGCCCCCGGCTAGACAGATGCTTTAGATGAAAAATATAATAAATAAAACCTAACCTAAAGAACCAGGAGTTGTGTACAGCAAGGGAAGAGGTGAGTTAAGATTCCCATCCCTGGTTCCAGCACACAGAAGCAGCACAGCACTGAGGAACCCCCCAACTTCCCCCAGCCCTCCTCTCCTCATCTGAGACACGACCCTAGTTAATTTCAAGTTCTCGTACTCAAGTCCTTTATTCTAAAAATGCTTCTTTTCAACAATTTGATGTATTAAGTACAAGGTGTAAACTCTAAGGAAAACGTGATTTTATGGTGAAACGAACTATTAAAAATATAAAATAAAATCACTGTTACAATTAAAATGTACGGAACAGGCTCTAAACTAGTTAGATAAGTTTACACAAATTTATCTCATATCTACAGTAAGACTTGGCTCCTGAAAATCCACCTTTATGAAAGTGAAGACTTACCAGGTGTCTGTGTAGGTGCATGTGAGTGCACACTGCAGGGCTGACAGAACTCCTTTTTCCAGCGGGTGCATGTATTAATTTTAAATCAAATGCCTATTTTGTTTGAACAAATGACCTCAGTTCTTCAAAATAAAGTCAGGACTTGAAAATAATCCAAAAAAACTTCTGAATCATCATGTCTCCATCATTTTCTAAATCTTGAATGTTAATTGTTCACAATGGATCTACCACCCAGGTGTAGGATCATGACCTGACAGTTGTGAACAACCTCAAATGCTGCCTCAAAATTAACTGCATTAAACAATTTCAGATATACACACACGGAGAAGGATTTCCAACCAAACCGAATACTCACCCCGCAATACTGCTCTTCGTTGAAGATCTGGGGTGGCAAAGGGATCCCATTTTGAGGTTTTTTCTCTCCAGGGACATTCTCTCTCATCCACTTCCTATTGTCTTCATCTCCAGCTATATCTAATTCCTTAAAGTCGATTTTATTAGCTTCCAAAAAGCCCACGACTTCTTGCTGTTTCTTCCTAATCTGGTCAAGAGTAGAGAAAGATCATTATTAGGCTGTTCCTGAAAAATGTTTTGCTTACATTTACATAAATTAAATCCTCTCTCCGGCTATACCATACAACACAAATAATCTTGTTAAATATTCAAACAAGGAAAATAAGAAATAATAAAATCACACCTTTTTGTTATAAAGGATCAACAGAGTGACTATCTAAAATCTGAAATTCTAATAGCATCAATGTTTAAATCATTGTATAATCAACTGTTAAACTAAATGTGAGCTTTAGAAGCCTCCACAGGAGTTCTATGTATGGAACTGTAACCTAACTTTGTACATACACAAACTGAAAACCTAACCTAGAAATTTGCCTTTGAAACAATAGCTGAGTCTCAGCCAATCACAGCAGCCGAGCTTCAGCCAATCACAGGCAGCCAAATGTTCAAATAAGGCAACTACCCAGTTATAACCAATCCAGCTGCCTTTGTACCTCACTCACTTTTCTGTATGTCACTTCCTTTTCTCTGGCTATAAATATAACCCACATGGGGGTAGAGCATTCCGAACCATTTTTGATCTGGACTGCTGCTAGATTCTAGAATTGCAAATAAAAGCCAATTAAGATCTACAAAACTAGATTTGTTGTAACTTTGCCTTGTAACACAACCTAATTGGAATAAAGATGCCCTCATATATTTTATTTGCCGTCTTCAAAATACTTTTAATTTTTTTCAAAGCTTTAATGGCCAAAAAGTATGAATGATTTAGGAAGAGAAGAGATCTGATTGGGAAAAGAGAAAGAAGGGAAAAAAAGATAATTTACTATGAAATTCAAACCCCAAGTATAGCCACACTAAAATGCATTTCAGTCAAAGTTATGAAAATAGGAGTATGAGTCACATTAAACTAAAAGTAGCTCTAGAAATATAACAGGGAATTGAAAAGCCCACGTGGAGATTATCCGAAGGGAAGGGCAGAGGAAAGGCTAGAAAAAGCTGGAGGATACTTCTCCCAGCACATAAAAGATTAACACAGTAAAATAACCCTTTTCGCCCACAGACTCCTCCTTTCTTACTCAAACCTGACTCCTCTCTGACAGTGCTGTGCCAGCCACACCTAAGAAAAAATGGTTGGATGCCCGTTTCCCTACCCACAGTTCATGTGCAATGACTGCATCTACCGACTGCCATTTGTTATCAATTTGGCCATCCTTAAAGCTTAGAACTCTTTCCCCATAAACTCAATAACTGTCACCAAAGAATGCATGCCTGACAGTGTGGCGATGCCATCTTTTATAAACACCAGTAAACAAGTTACAGCAGACTCTGCAGACCCCATTTTAAGACCCCTCCCCCAGAGAGAAATTTCCAGAAAGTGTAATTGATCAAATAATCAGCAGTTATTTATGGACTCTCTACTCGGCACAACACATTGTGCCAAGTCCTTCAGGTGGACATATTCATTCTTAAACTGTCTATTTGGATGACAACAAAGTACACAACTAATTCGTACAACATAGAATAGAACACACTAAGGACGATAAAGAGGCAAAGATATGGTCTTTTTTTAAGACTAAGATGAATTTTTTAAATAAATATTTTCTCTGACATGAAAATATCTAATATCTGAACTTTTTAAAGTCCTCTGAATAGAATAATGAAAATAAGGGCCCCCTTGTCATTTTCATGTAATTTGCTTATCAGAAGGACTAGATTTTAAGGGTTCCAAGTAAATGCTATGAAAGGTGCATGCCTGTCCCAAACCTAATGTCTAGATTCAAACCCTCTTTTAATTCAACCCAAATCTTTTCTTAGAGATCTGTAAATTTTTAAAAATTCTATTTTATTCACTTTTGCCAAGATGAATGACTCATGTATGTGGTGTTTCGTAATATAAGGAAAAGACAGACACATCTGGATGTGGAAGCCCTAGAATCAAATCACCACCAAGATCAATTGTATATAAATCTTTTTTTTTCTTTTCTTTTTTATTTCAGCATATTATGGGGGTACAAATGTTAAGATTACATATATTGCCCTTCCTCCCCTCCCACCTTGAGTCAGAGCTTCAAGTGTGACCTTCCCCCAGACGGTGCACATAAATCCTATATTTATATATAAAATTTATATATAATTTGGTTTTGAGGAAGATTTGATTATATAATATATAGTATAAATATCAAGTAATTTTTAACTTTTTAAAAAATTAACATTAAATGTTAAATTAACTTTTAAAAAATTAACATTTAATTAAAAATTAATTACATTTAATTTTAAAATTAATTAGTATAATTAATTATATATTAAATATATAAATTATAAAATGTATATAAATTACATATATATATATAAATGGTAATCACACATTTGATATTTTAAAGAACACTTATACCTTAATAAAGATAATGGGACTAAAAGCATCAGATCAACAAATTAAAGGTTCTGTTAGCTACAACACAACACTTACAGTCAGTAAGACTCAGGCCAACACATGTATTTCAGTTTGGGGCAAGCACGGACCAGAAAAAAAGAACTACACAGACACATGTGGAATGATGGAATTTTCCTTAAACTTCTGGCATAAGGACTCTGGCAATTTCCAAGTGTCACACGTACGAGAGCCCAAGTAGAGCCGCGTGTGTCCCACCAAGGTGTCCCCCTCCCTCTGCTCCTGTGCATGGAAACTGCTCCAATTTCCACAGCTTCACGGTTGAACTTTTTAATATCACAAAATCCCATCAGACCTGATGACAGTTTGCTGGACACCTCATTTCTATAATTAATCATACTCTCTATACATCCTTCCCAACCTGCCCACGATTATTCGTGCCATTTGATAAAGTGCTTATTCCCTTAGATCATTCCAAAGATAACTTTGCTGTTTTCAAGAGTACAGATGTCTTCATTTCAGGCAGTTTTACTTTATGAATACTCAGAAGGCAACCTCCTCTCTTCAGTCCAAACCCTTGTCTGCCCTTCTCCCAAGCCCTTCCCAGATACCCTCCGGGGAGCCCGAATCAGCCCGGGCCACCTCCCCGGCTTTCTTTCCATCTCTGTCAATCATGCCTTAGGACTTGAGACGGAGTAGAAAAAGGGTTCTGTTTTATTCTGCAATTTATGAATAGATGGGAAACAATTTCCAAAAGTCCCGACTTCTGTTTCTTCCATTAGAAAGGCAAAAAGAGATGGAGAAATAATAAATTAAATGTATTGAGAGGGGAAGACCATGCAATGGCATCCAGGGAAGTGAAGTGCCTGCTGGAAGCATGGCATTGTGGTAAGTGCTATTTCTCGGTGCCCACCCCCAAAAGAAAGAAAAAAATAAATAAAATCTGTTTGCCCTTGTCCTCCCCAAACACCAGCCACTTAGCCTGGGCCGAGTGTATTGCCCATCAGGCCATCTGGGGCTGTTGAGTTCTGCCTGGGCTGGGAGCCCACAGTTTGAGGGTGTTGGGGTCGATCCCAGGGGAGGGCAGAGGGGAGAGAGCATGTGACCTGACTGTTTCCTTTGCAGCACCCCAATACCCTGACTCCAGCATGGGGGCCTCTCTCCCCCCTGGGAGTCCCTGATTAAGGAGCCCCTCTGGGCCCAAAAGGTGCCCCAAGAACACAGCATCAGCTCTTAGAGGACTCCCCACTTTATGGCCCAGGGGAGGGGTGTGCAGAGCACCCCAACAGTTCTCATCACAGACACACTCCTCTCCACCCCCTCCCCTTGCCCCTTCTGTGCCCTGCCGCAGGCTGCCGTGGCCCGTGTTGGCCCCACAGGCCGCACTGTCTGTCCTGGGCAGCGGCTCTATAGGACTGGGGTCTGCATCACTATCTGGAGCCTCTGGGGCCTCAGCAGAGACTCGGAGGGCTCCATTTTCCTATCCTGTTACATTTACTTATAAGAAAATGTTGTTCTCTGTCCCGAAGTCACCCAGCCACTGCTAGCTATGACAAGGTGTCGGAGGAATCTAACAGCAGCGCCTCTTGGTGACACTCACTTGGCACCCCCTCGTTCATTGTCTCGTACAGTTAGGAGCCTTTCCAGCTGAGGTCACCCTGCTGTAGTAAAAAGCACACTGGGTTTGAGTCACAGACGACCTGTGTTTCCGTCCTAGGAGGCTGCTATCTGAGCAAGAGCTCTGGCCTCCAGTTTCCTCATCTGCAAAATGGATACAACACTGCCGTCCTTATGGGGTTTTGGCGGGAACTGAAGATGATGATGCACGGAAAAGCATTTCGTGCCACAGGGTAAGAGCCTGCACTGTCAGACAGCCCAGCACACCATTATCCCATCACGTCGTCACACTGGCCATCCAGGTAGGTATCTGATCACTATTTTAAAGTAACGCTGAGGCTCCAATGAATTAATTGATTTTCCAAGATTTATACCCAGATCAATCTAATTCAACAGTCCTATTTTTCCCACCATATTTGCACTGTCAATTAAGACAGAGAAAGGACTGAGAAACTTAGGAGACACCATGAAGGACCATCCTTAAAGATCGCGGTTTCGGAGGCTGGGCATCTTGGAGGCAGCAGGGACTGTCCTCTCTCCCTTTGCCTTCCCCCTACCCCACTGTGGCAATGGCCTTCTGAAAGAGAAGAGGGTAATATGGGAAGTCATTCGCCTTCTCCTGCTCCCCAGGGTCTCAACCCAAAGCCCTCTGGAATGTGATAAAAATGTGTCACAGCTCTTTGGAGTCAACTGTTAAAACAGAGCTATAATACAAAGATGCATGTATTTAATTCCTCGGGAAGAGATTAAAATTTGTTTTTTTCCTTTTTTATTTATTCCATTCATGCACCAGATATCAGAATGCCCTCCCTGACTAGGTGTCAGGCAAGAATCCATTCTTAAAATACGTAAGCTGAAGAAGTAAGTAGGGAAGGCTTTGCAGTCGGACCACCACACACGCAGCAAGCGCGAGAGAAAGCTGCTCTGGGTTCTTCCTGTCGAGAAGCTTTTGGGTGACATTCCCCCACCCGCGAAACGTCATTAGCACCGGCACCGTGGGGATAGTCAGCTCTCACTCTTTAGGATACTACAGAAATTTTTCCATTTATGTGGTTTTGGACAATTCTTCGGACACACAATGATCATAGACCCAGATTTACTCAATAATATTAGCTAATAATTATAGTAATATAATGATTATAACAACTGTGATGCTAATTAAAATTAATTAACGATAACAAAATTATAAAAATTATAGTAGTAACTAATATTAACAGTAGCTGGTAATTATAACATTAACTATAACCAATAATATTTCTTGAGCTCACATCAATAACACCTGACACCATGCCGGGCACGCCAGCATGTTATTTCATAAGCCCTCATGACAACACTCTGAAGTGGGTACTATTCTTATCCTCATTTTACAGACAAGGAAATTGAGGCTTAACAAGGTGAAATGCCTTTCCCAAGGTCACTCAGTTATGAGCAGAACTGAAACACTTGCTTAGGGAACCAGAAGTAACTTGGCTTTTCCAAGATTCTGGAATGAATGGGCGCCTCTCTGGGTCCTCCAAGGCTAACTAAATTATTCTCCCAAACTTCAAGAAGGTAGAACAACAAATAAACCTAAGAAATCCTTAAACGTATTCCTTGTCATCTGAAGAACACATAGGTCCACGCAGACCAAGTCTGCAGAATACACAGAGATAAGCTACAAAAGTTTTCAGCAATGAGCATCAACAACATGCACGAAGCCCATCAAAGCTGTTTTCCTCCGAAAATTATTTTTTATCTAAATAATCCAAAGATGTACTCAATATACATTAACTAAGAGTTTCTGCAGTCATCAAGAGCCACAAAAGATTTTGGAGAGTTTTACATTTGCCATTGGTACGCATCTTTTTCTGCCACGCTGTTCTAGAGATCACTAAAACAATCTCTTATCAGTTGTGCTCAGAAGGGACCACCAAGCTATTCTGTCTTGTTTTCCTCTCACCCTCTCGAGAAACTGCGTGAACTTTCAGGGGTGGGAGTGTCTGCCTTTGGGGCTGTTACCCCGGACAGTGGCTGGCTCCGGGTATCATCTCTGGCTGGGTGACTGCTGAAATCAGAGCTGCAACCCGAGATCCTCCAGGAACCAGAAATAAAAGGAAACAGCCCCTTCACTGGTCTCCAAACCCTTGGGATTAAAAAAGCTGTTTTCTCTCCACAGACATCCTAAAACACTGGTCAGAATATCAGTCCTAGACAGACAGACGCTACAGGTTCAAGCCTAAAGCCAAAGCCGGAACCATCTCCAAGGAGAAATGAGTCACTCTGTTACTCCTGTCTCTTAAGGCAGTTCTAACCTGCACGGAATGAAGGCCAGAATTGGAGAGGTGGACGTTCTCAAGGAAATCAGACAAAGCTACACGGAGGAGCTCGGCTCTTAGCTCCTACTTTCAGGCTGCTTGAACGCCTGGAACAGTTATAACTGTTGCCGCAGAGACGTTCGCTTTGGTCACCGTGACATCATTTTCCTCATATAATAGCATTACACATGCTAACTTTACACTTTCGATTTTGGTCGCGTTGCATATACAAGTGATGACATCCAGGAATCGTTTTAGCAATCTGGTTCATCATCTGCTCCAAGCAGTGTTATACACAAGGGTCATTTATTTGCAACTTTAAATTAGTTTAAGCTGCAGAAACACTCCAAAAAATTTTTTTAAAAAGTCTGAGATTCTATAGCGATGCAATGCAACCAAATCATGTGTTAGGAACTCCAGCATCGAGCACGCCTGTGTCCTCAAACCCCCTCTCACACCCAGCTATCTGGATTACACACTTGACACGCTTTTTCAACACCACGAAGACAAACGCGGAAGGCAGAGGGCGTGCAACACGCTTACTGCAGGGCCACAGGGGACTTGCACACACGCGCACACACACACAAAAAAAGACACTTAAGGCCAACGCTTGGCCAGAGCAGCTCCTGCTTCCAACCCTGAGTTAGTTTTTCAGAACATAGCCCAGGAAGAAAGCCCCGCAGAGGCCACCAGACACCTACCGCTATGGACCCAGAAGATGTAGCAACAAACACTTTGATAACCATTTCGAAAGTCGGAAAGAGGACTCCCCCCAACACACCCCTGTTAGGTAGGGAACGCGTCGCCAGACAAACCCTGACAGTGACGCGCGCGCGCAAGTGCCAGGCCGGAGCTGGCTGCAGCCCAAGTCCCCGCTGAGCTCCCGCCCGCCTGCGCCTCTCCCGGGAGCAGCGGAGGGAGGCATCGTGGGCTTGCCCCCTCCATTGGCCCCGGAATATTTTGGGACCTGTCAGGGAAATATTTCATTGGTTGATAAAAGCAGCCACTGGACCCTTTCCCTACCACTTTAAAGTGCCCGACAGCAGTCCCTAAAAGGCCAGGCTGCGGTGCCAATCAGGACGGGCAGGATGATTGGGGCGCGACGAGGGTGGGCCGGTCACCGAGGAGAAGGAGGCGGAAGCGGCAGGAGGAGCGCTTTGGGGCGTGGAAATGCCCAGAAAACGCCTCGGTTCAGAGTCGAGGCAGCGTTGGCAGGGCTTCTGGCAAACAAACTGGAAAGGTCAGTGAATAGCCCCAGAACGCCTTTAAATAAAAAGCGAGCTTACTTGTTTTGAGATATTTCTGGCAGGTTAAAAAAAAATCAGTAACTGTCACACCAATAGAAATTTGTATGAGTTGGCCTTTTCCAGTGTCTCTCTTTTTACCACTGTTTTCTCCTGAAAGAGACAAAAACTGACAGACATGGCCATGTAAGGTTTCCTGACGTCCCAGGCAAGGCCAGGGAAATAGAGCTGCTTTTTCAGGACTTGATGACTGCAAAACTGTCTATTTTAAAGATTGGGGGGCGGGGAGGGGGATAGAACTGTTTATAACTGGTTCCAATCCGTATTTTTTATATGGAATTTGAATAGTGTTAAAGTCAGAGAAGCAACTTAGGCAAGAAGCCAAATGCTAGCTAGCCAACTTTCTGATGGGTTTCAAAGACGAGAGGCATTAAAGGCCTGTTTGCAAGGAAGACCTGGGGATGTTTAGTAACTCTTAAGATACCTGAGTCTCTCCGAGCCTTTTCCTCTGTTACAGTCCTTATACTATCATGGGAGACACCTGTTTCTTGACCAGGAGGACATAAGTTCTTGAGCACCTTAAAGAGTCTAGAGGCTGTTTGCTCCCCTCCTCTCAGGTAGTGCCTGCGAGTGAGAATACACCACGGCCCAGACTACAGTCAAATTCATTACATCGTGATGAAAATTGACACCAAAATTTATTTTGGTCAAATGACAATTATTCAACAAGTATGTCTTGTTTAAGATGAGGATGTTTAAATTTAAGTCAAAGAATTTTATTTATTTTAAAGCACAAATGTAGATCATTTATTCTTATTCTGTATTTTCATTTTCGTATAGTATGTACTATTTTTTTTTTTTTTTGTACAGAGTCCTCACTATGTTGCCTAGTAGAGTGCCGGTGACATTGGCCTTAGCACACTCGAATCTGGGTCAAGTGATCCTCCGCTCAGCTCAGGTAGCTGGGACTACAGTGCATGTGCCACCATGCCTGGCGTATTTTTTCGTATATACTTTTAGTTGGCCAATTAATTTCTTTCGTATTTATCAGGATGAGAGCGCGGTCTCGCTCTTGCTCATGCATGGTTTCGAATTCCTACCTTGAGCGATTCAGGCCCGCCCGATTTCCAAATGCTAGGATTACAGGCACTGTATTTTTTATACAAAAATAATATATTCACACCTTAAAGTCTGCCCATGTAACATGGCTATTTCTCCAAATATATTGAAGAAAGTAATAAGCCAGGCAATTCTAATGGCTTGTAAGTTGGTAACATTAAACCTAAGCCGGATTCTCCTGTATGCTAGAAATATACATTCCCATGATCAGATAGGTGAAAACTTTCTTCGCAGTGATGACATCCCCTCCTCTAATAACCTGGAAGAAAATCTTCTATGAATAAGTAAACAATTTTGGAGGGGTGTTGTCAATGTGCAGATATGCCCAGGGTGATTTGGCATAAACGTTCTTGATTGTTAAAGTAGCCCTAAAAGTTGGGATTGATATATCCTTACAATGAGGACATAGAATGGATGATGATGGAGAACGGAAATGGTGTTTCAAGAGGATCCCTGACCCATTTCTCCTCCACATAATAAAAGAAGCTCCTTGAGATGCTACCCTCAAATTCCTAGTGTCCCTTTTTTCAGGCTATGAATGATTTATGTTTATTCTTTTATTTTATTTTGTAGAGATGGGATCTCACTTTTGTTCAGGTGGTGTCTCACTTCCAAGCTCAAGGGTCTCCACTCTGCTTCCAGAGTGCTAGGATTCAGGCCTGAGCCCAGCCAGGCCAAATTTTATCCTTTTAAAAATGACATAGGGCGGGGCGCGTGGTCATGCTGTAATTAGCACTCTGGGGGCTGGGCAGGCGATGCTGGAGGTAGGAGTTCGAAGAACAGCCTGAGCAAGAGCAAGACCGTCCTACTATAATGTAGAAAGAAATTAAACTGGCCATAATATATATATAAATTAGTGGGCATGGTGGCGCCAGCTTGTAGTCATACTCGGGAGGCTGAGGCAGAAGGATTGCTTTGAGCCCAGGAGTTTGAGGTTTCTGTGAGTAGCTGACGCACGGACTCACTCTAGCCTGGTCTTAAGCAGAATCTGGTCTAAAAAAAAAAAAAAAAAATGACCATAGAAATGTACAAATTAGAAATTTGAACACTGTCACTGAAAGATTTCTTTTACTTTATTACAGTGACACAAATGAGCTTCAAGATAATTAATAGAAATACCAAATATTCCAAACAAGTCTTAAAATAAAGCTCAATAATTCTCTGACTTACAAAATCCACTTCAGAAAGCAGCTGTGTAATCTAGCAAAGGTGCAGGCAGCCAATCATTTAACATCTCTAGTACTTGCTGTGTGAGTCAAATAATAACACTTTTTGATTTGGCTAATTTTGATTATAAAAGTATGAAGTATTGGCTACAAACTTCACAGAGTTCCCCAGATGATCCTATAAAAATGACACCAGATGTTATGTTCTGATTTACATAACTTTATGGGTAAACTAAAATGACAAATAAAGGCATAGGTTTATTACACAGAATGATGGGAGTGATTACCATAATAACTATAGTGGGTTGAATAATGTTCCCCAAGATTCAACCTAAAACCTCAGCATGTGACCTTATTTGGAAATACAGTTTTTGCAGATGTCATTAGTTGGCAATCTTGTGATAAAATCATCCTGGATTTAGGGTGACCCCTAAATCCAATGACTGGTATCCTTAAAGAGAAGACACACAGAGACACAGACAAGTATACCATGCGAAGATGGAGGCAGAGATGGGAGTGGTGCTTCCACAAGCCAAGAAACACCAGAAGCTGGAAGAGTCAAAGAATTCTCCCTGAAGGCTTTCAGAGGGAGCACAGACTTGCAGACACCTTGATTTCATACTTCTGACCTCCAGAAGTATGAGAGTGTAAAGTTCTACTGCTCTAAGCCACCAAGTTTGCCGTAATTTGTTGCAGCATCCCTAGGAAACTAATACTGAGAAATAAAGGTATATGTTTACTACACGGCATGATGATGACCGCCATAATAAAAAGGCCATTGCTTTAGCTGTGTACCTCAAGGGCCTCTTCCTCTTTCCTATATGCACAGCAACAAAAGAACACCCCCTTCAAAAGTAGAAGCAAAGACCATTCTTTCTGAAACATATTCATATTTATCATGCCTGCAGACACTGGGAAAAGCTGGTCTAAGAAGAAGAGACCATTAAGATGCAAAAAAGGGCCGGGCGCTGTGGCTCACGCCTGTAATCCTAGCTCTTGGGAGGCTGAGGCGGGCGGATTGCTCAAGGTCAGGAGTTCAAAACCAGCCTGAGCAAGAGCGAGACCCCGTCTCTACTATAAATAGATCTACTCTCTTCCTCTCGCTTTAAAGTCCTGTGCTAATCATCATGGAGATGACACTGCTTTCCCTGGACCAGCAGGAATCGGATCACTCTCAGCTTCTGCACCCACCCCTTAACGCAGAGTGCCTAATGAGGTCTGTTTGGCCTCCACTCCTCCTCAGGTAGGTGCCTGCGATGAGAAGTACAGCCACCGGCCAGACTACAGATCAAATTCATTTATCTCGTTGATGAATAATTGGACCACCAAAATTTAACCTTTTGGCGTCAACTATGCAACATTACTTCAAAAGATTTGTCCTTGTTAAGATGCATGGATGGTTCTCCAAATTTTAAGTCACTAGAATTATAAATTT